CGAGATTTGCGCAATGAATAAATAGGAGCAAGAGGTTCGCATGCGGGAGTTTAAACACTGATATACGTAGAGGTGCGTTAATTCGCCTTAGAGTTCGAATCACAGAACCTCCTATTAAACCTTCACAGTGACGCAATAGCGGCCTCGCCCGTGAGCTAGGCCTATATCCCCTGCCATTCAATCAATAGTGTTGGTCACTATTTCATATGAATGGCCCATCATCAAATACGGCAAATGAGTAAGTGGTAAAATGACAGATCAGATGATAGCTGATCAAGATTCATGATGTTACTGAGGTGATGAGATGGTGCTTCACATGACATTGGCGCACATCTCGGAAGCTTCCAGAGTTGCTTAGAGTCTCAAATCTTGACGATGTTGAAGGAGGAGAGACTGCATCTGGTTGCTCTGAAGACGGTTAGACCTTAGGCTACAGCTACGCATGACACGAATGTTGATTGATAGTTAAAGCTTATAACATCTCAACGAAACATATCATGCCAACATACTGAAAGCCCCTAATAAACTTTAGCTTACCAACCTAAATGCGCTATTATTAGATATGAGCTTAAGGATTTATTTAGTTACGTATAGTATATTATAGGTTAAGGCAGAAATCGAAAACTAAACCTTGTTAAGACCTGTAACTAAAAACTCTGTGCTATTACCGTGAAATGCAAATAGAGGACCAAGTAGAGAAAATGATTTCCACTTTCTATTGCTTACAATAATCTGGCAGAAATCGTGGAAAGCGAGGTTATATTTCGGAAGTTTGAAGATCTGTAGCAGGAGGTTTCGCGAAGACGATACAGTCTTTACTCCAGGGACCGCACCCAACTGTTGCCAAATAGTGGACCTGCATCTTTGGTCTTGCCGACGATCTGAATATTTATACTCTGAGGGGAAAGGAAATAAAAAGGGGTTTTGCATCCCGTTAGCAGTAATTTCTATGAGGTCTTTATTGATCTCACGGGACAAGTCCTCGATCACTGACCTGTGCATTATTTGCTTCCGTGGTTTCTCCCGACAATGACACTAGATTCAAGACACCACGACGAGGGCGGTGAGAATTCTAGAACTTGACCGCTGGCAAGAATAACTACACCACAGGTATGACTATTCTTACATTACCCAACGGCAATATCCCCAATGACATCACAGCGGGCTATACTCAGTCAATCTCGCAAGAAGCAAGACACGCATGATGGCTGGTTCTGTCTCCGGGCAGTTACAGTAAGCTAGATACTAGAGAATTCCTGGGTAAAGTATGAATTGGTATTTGAATACAATGACTTCAAGTTCTTTGATTCAGAGTAAACATAATCATGCAATGAGGTTGCGTGACCAATTAGATTGAACCAGCAGACAACTCCTTAAACCCAACAGGACCAAAAGGTCCGCAAGAAAGAGTGAAATAGATACGTAGAGGTGCAGTAAACAGGCCAAGAGTTCTCATCACGGGACCACATACCAGCCTTTCACTGTGACGCAGCATTTCACTGTGACGCAATTACGATTTCACCTATCAGCCAAGTCCACTTTATGCCATCAAAACATGAAAGAGCTTTAGCCAGTTTTGATGTAATCAACCGTATTCTGGTTATCACAGAGAATAGACTGAATTTGAGATGTGATGGATGGCCAACATGAAGAGATGTGATGAGATTGATACTGTTACTAGGGGGCTGAGAGGGCGCTTGACACACTGCTTAATTCCACTGTTAAGATATTGACTCAAGATTGTGATTGGATTGAAACACCGAGAGAATTAGTAAGGAAATCAAGAGAATCAACCAATAATTCTTTGTGGTAATTTCAATAGAACTCAAAGCGCACTTCTATGTCAGACGTATGTAAGGTTACTAATGCAGAGCCGAATGCATCGTGAAGGAAACACGATCCATTGTTCGGCACCTCCTATGATGTTATATTTTGTCAGCGGTGATGAAAGGATTGATGACAGACTTGTTCAGCTTGAGGGTCTTCAGACCAGGGTGTGAAGTGAATATATTGAGCATTTGACTCCTGAGTTGTGATATATGTGATATCGATCTTCTTAATTTTCACCTTTGAATCACGCCTCCATCACTTCAACACCATGAATTCATTGCAGCGAGCTCTTTCAAAAATTGCATTAAGTCCAAGTTCAGACTCTGAGCGGCTGGAAATAAACGGAGATGATAATGTTGAGTTCAGGGACGGCGATGTTGATAATCCAAGGAACTGGTCACTGGCAAGAAAACGGTATATCACCGCCATCACGATGTTACTATTGGCAAACGGCAGCATCGCCAGTAGCATCACAGCAGGGAACACCCAATCAATCACTCAAGAATTCGGCATCTCGAATGTCGCCGCCCAGCTCACGACGTCGCTTTTCCTGCTGGGCTTTTGCGCAGGGCCTTTGTTGTTTGGCCCGCTGTCCGAGTTCTATGGCCGTCAGTGGTTGCTATATTTTACCTTCTTTCTCTACTTCTGCTTTACGTTCCTGACGGCCTGGCCGACGAACTTGGGTGGTTTGCTCGTGGGAAGATTTCTCGCTGGATGTTTCGCGGCAGGGCCGTTTGCCATTGTGCCTGGAGTCCTGGTTGATCTATGGGATAAGTGTGAGTGCGGCAATGCCATGGGTATCTTGACTTGTGTTTGCTGGATTGGCCCGGCCCTGGGTACGGTCATATCTGGGTGCTTTGAGCTGAAGAAGGATTGGCGTTGGTCTATGTATGCTTGTCTTTGGCTCGGGTCATTTACTATGATGCCTATGCTGACGATTCCTGAAACACACGGCCCAGCGGTTCTTGCAAGAAAGGCAAAAATGGCTCGGTATAAAGGTCACGACGTACAGGCTGCAGGGGAGGCTTCCAGACCAAACCTACTTCAGGTGTATAAGACAGCTCTGACACGACCGTGGGTCCTCCTCTTCGACACAATCTCTCTACTGTGCTGTCTATACTCATGTCTCATTGCTGCTCTGCAATACATGCTATTCAGCATCTATCCCATCGTTTTCCAGGACCTGAGAGGATGGAACCCCGCCGTGTCGCAGCTCCCCGTTCTCGGACAGGCCGTCGGCGCCGTCTTCGGCCTTCTGATGGTGCGTTATCATACGAGACGACGCAAGGCAAAGATGGACATAGGGAGGGAGATGGTTCCAGAGGACCACATGGTTCTAGCCATGATAGGAGGCGTGGGACTACCAATTTCAATGCTCTGGCTGTGTTGGAGCGCCCAGTACAAGTCCGTATACTGTTGCATTCTCACGATAAGACATCCGGACTGATTTGTCAGTAGCTCCGCCCATTGGATCGTACCGACAGCGGGTGGCACGGTTCTGGCGACATGCCTGATGCTGATCCATGTATCCTGCTTTAGTTACGTCGCTGACACCTACGCGGACTACGCTGCTTCTGTCATAGCTTCCAATCTCGTTGCGAGGTGTATTAGCAGCGCGGGAGCTCCTGTTTTCACAAGTCAGATGTTCGAGGCCCTTGGAGTGGGCGGCGGAGGCTCGCTGATTGCGGGTGTGGCAGCGCTTCTCGCTGTCATACCATTTCTTTTCTACCGCTATGGCCACGCTATCCGATCACGGAGTAAGTACGCTCTCGCTTAAGCTGGGCTATCAAGGCGAAGGAAGATGAATTCGCGTGTTTGGATGGCGAGCCCCTGAGTGTTGAGGATTTAGTTAGCGACGTCATTCTCGCGACAGCCAGCGAAATGTCAACTTGACTAGGTTGAGCAAACGCGACGCACTTAGTCTAGATGGGGCTTCTACCCTGTCAGTCTTGGATCCAATAGATGCACCGCAATAAACTACCGACCATCACATTGTGACAAATCGAACCTTACTTGTCGGAGCCATCTAGATGATGCGTGATGCCACCGTTTGATGTCCAGGGGATCTTCACTCACACCATCTCCCATATCAGATCGCAATACACTGTGGGGCCAGCCTCCACCCCCAAATACTACCCTCCGTTGGAATATCCGTCGCTGATTGGGCTCATGCATGATTGAGTTTGCCGATGGCTGGACAGGACCTTTGGATTGGGGTTCTATAGGGGTTCGGAGCCGTGCCGTCTTGATATGGTTGGTGGGCAGATATCGCTCATAGCAATTTATTGATTTGGGTTTGCTAAACGACACTCGCTTACGGGACATATCATTTATCACATTCCAAAAACCATAACGGGGCCTGAGTGATGGCGTTTCGGTAGGCCTTTGTTTCGATGATAATGACTGTTGAGTCTTGACGATATGCAGATATCCTGTGGAGCTGTGTGCTTATCAAAACGCAGATCCTATAGCTAAAAATACTAAAGAACCGGGAGTTTTAGCATCCGCTTTTGGGACGAAGGATATTCCATGCTTACATGCCGGGTAACGAATCCAGAGTATTAGCTGCGGGGTTACGAGACGTTCCCGTTCAAACGTCTGCCGTCTGTATAACTAATTTATGGGCACTAGGCCATCCAGAAGCGGGGTAGCTGTGGGAACTAGAGCCTTTACATGCCATGACGACTAAATGACAAGGGACTAAATGACTAGGTTAGCATCCTTGCTCATCAAGTCCCTTGCAGCATCAGCACTGTAACACACCATTTCCACTCCTCGGAAATGCGTTACCCTCTCGTCAAGCCATGGTATTTAAAATAAACGCATCAGATAGCATGTCGAATTGTCTTTGATGGAGATATTCTCCGCCTGCTGCTAACTTTTAGGTTAAATTGAGCGGCGGCATACCGATCTAGTTCGACCCGGGTATTTAATGGTTAGAGACGGAGATAAACGTGACGGTATTTAAGTAAAGGCAATACAACAAGTGAGTAAGAAGTTGCCATATACTTCCTCCCCCGTTGCATACAGCGACAGAGCCCATTTTCTCGACATGAGTCTTTTACATCAGTGTGTGTGCTTGTCCCAGTGCCACGGCCCTCGTTTTCTTCGCCCTGTTATTTCATGAGAATCATGTACGGTCCCTAACAAACGTCTTTGTAGCAATGGCCATGGAACAAGCTCCCACTACACACGAGAACCAACCGTACGACCTATCCCTCCTTGGCAACTTGGATGCCGCGACTCAGCTGTTAGGAGATCAGTGGTATCTTGTCCCCAATGACGGGAATTACCATCTGCTCACCAGGACCGAAGAGTACATACCCAGACTTCTCGGGGACCCGGCTCTGGTTCAATGGCCTGAGCCTCTCCTCTCACCAGAGCTTACAACACCCCAACAAGATTCATCTTCGGCAATCATCACGAGCCCAGCTAGCAATGCCGAATGTCGTCCAGACTCTCTGGTGCATCAACACGCTTCACAACGCACAGCCGTTTCTACTTCCTCCAGCGATGTCGACCACCATATTTCTGCATCGACGCAGCCCGAATCAAAGAAACGTAGTGTCAGCTTCAGCGTCGACAGCACGATGACCCTGTCACAGGGAGATACTACCACGAGCCCCAACACAGAAATCTCCGTCCAGGAGGCAGGCCCGAGCACGAAGAGGCGTGCTACTACCAGTACTGTCCCAACCAGAGATATCGAGTATATCAAGAAGGTCAGGGAGAGGAACAAGCGCGCTGCGACCAAAGTCCGCCTGAAGCAACGGGAAACCGAGAAGAACCTCGCGTCCGCCGAAAAGGAACTGCAGCAGGCGAACCAGAGGTTGACAGAATGTGTGAAGGAGCTAACTAACCAAGTGCATGACCTCAAGATGCAGCTCCTTCAGCATGGCACTTGCGACTGCGCCCTTATTCAGGAGTACATTGGCAACGAGGCGAACCGCTATGTGCAAGAAACGAGTGGCTAGACCTTTTATCCGCGAGGAATATTTCAATGCTGTTTGACCTTCTGGAATTGCATATTTTACTTAATCTTAACTATCTACGAGACCATGAAGCCCTCTATGGCTAGGATTATATACTGCATGGCTTTAGGAATCAGAAAAGACTGCCTTTATCTATATTAATGGTAAGATTTGGGAGGTTAAGAAAACACCAAAACGTAGCTAGTATGAAAAAAACACAATTTGCAGTTACAACTTATGGCAAATAGCTAAGAATCAGTATACAGAACTAATTGATGGAAAATAAAATATGGAAATACTTTTGGAATATGATTTGAGTCCATAGACTTGCTGTCGCACGCCCTACCCTAAAAGGGTCAAGACTCGAGTGGTGGACTATTAACCTTATGGACAAAGCCACAGTTAGCCAATACACCATAGCCGTGTCATCTTTACAGCTTCAAACCCACGCCCATCAAACCGCTGACATCACAAGTCAGTCAGAAATGCAAGTGCTTGACAAAGGCCATCTCACTGCTTACATGCATGACATTCTATTTATCACTATCGTCAATCCGGTTAGGCGCTGTAGTATCGCCACGCACCCAGATCTCACACTGACAGAGCGCTGACATATGTGGATCTGCTAGCAGATATGATGTGGTATGGTCTTTTGCGGAGCTGTATCGGAGCCGGAGACCCCAAGCTACGCTAGTGAAGCGAAAACCTAGGGACAAGGTTTCCGGCTTGGAGTAGGAAATAAGGAGTCCTGTATGAAGCAGGTACTCGTATATATGATGGTGACACTATGTAATGGAAGCGGCACTGGACCTTGATTTGGGTATGGTATTGGGGGGTATTGCAATAGGCTGATGAAAGAATGGAGAAGAATATGCATTCTTAGCACATATGATTTTATATGTGTATTGCATTGTGATGATGAAAAGATGAATGAAATCACGTAGAACAACAACATTCTCATGATTGGGAGGAAGTGCTGGGGATGTGATGAAGAGCATAAATTGCATGGCGAAAGTCCCCTCTTGCTGATAGATTCTTGAGAGTAGCCACAATCGATATACAATCAACACCAACGATCAACATGGCAGAAGTATCCAAGTATGCTCCAACAACACCCTGTGGATAGTCAATCTCTAATGTTGCCACAAGACCAGTCTACACAACATCCTACAAGCCCCATCCCAGCGAGAGGATGAAGGCAGCCACTTGGACAGGCACCAAGTCCATTGAACTGACCAGTGTGCCCAAGCCCACCATCACCGCGCCCGCAGATGCCATCGTGCACGTCACCCACTGCACCATTTGCGGCTCGGATCTGCACATGTACAACGGCGATATGAACAAGGTTATGGAGAAGGGGCTCATCATGGGCCACGAGGCTATCGGCATCGTCGAAGATGTCGGTCCTCAGGTTAAGACCCTAAGCGCAGGAGACCGAGTTATCATCCTGCCCGTCATTGCCTGCGGAGACTGCTTCTACTGCAAGCGCAAGGAGTACTCCCTGTGTGACCGCACCAACCCCTCCAAGGAGTTGGAGCAGATGTACGGCCATCGCCTGTCGGGCATCTTTGGTTACTCTCTGATCACAGGAGGATATCCTGGAGATCAGGCAGAGTATTGCCGCGTGCCCAACGCTGACCTCACTTGCATCAAAGCCCCCAAGGACATAGAGGCTAGTAAGCTCGTTGGCCTCGCCGACGTGACTCCTACCGCCTGGCACGGCAACGAGCTGGCCGAGGTCGGCGAGGGAGATGTCGTCGGCGTCTGGGGCTGCGGTGCCGTTGGTCTGTCGATCCAGCGTCTTGCGAAGCTGCGTGGAGCCAGCAAGGTCTATGCCATTGACAAAGACGAGCAGCGCCTGAATAATGCCAAGTCGATGGGCATGATCCCCATCAATGTCAAGGAGCACTCTGATCCTGCCGACTACATCTTGTCCATTGAACCCCAAGGGCTGGACCGTGGGATTGAGGCGAGCGGCTTTAGGAGCACCAACTCAACTGCCCATGCTACTATGAGAGCGTTGGGAGTCGAAGGGGATAGCTCTGATACGGTCAGCGCAGCTATCAAGGCAACCCGTAAGGGAGGTAATGTTGCGTTGATTGGAGACTTTTTCTACAACACTAACAACTTCCCCATCGGAATGTTGATGGAAAAGGGTATCACCCTGCGCGGAGGACAGCTCTACGCCCAGAAGGTATCAAAACTAAGCTGCGTGCTACGTAACGGTACTAACTGTCTTGCAGTACTTCCCGCTTCTTCTAGACCTTGTCGTCGAAGGGAAATACGATCCCTCTTTCATGTTCACTCATCACGGTACAGTAGCCTATTCGTATCTGCTAATTGTCGTTGTCTAACCCTTCTTGCCTTGCAGATAAGTTCGAGAATATCTCCAAGAACTATGATGCCTTCTTTAGTCACAAGACGCCTGGGGGATTGAAGATTTGCCTCTCAACTGCGTTTGGACGGGCACAGACTGGGGGTTCCGTTTGAACATGATGAAATGCTAGGTCTTTGCATGATGGGGAAATGTGATCTTAACTTTCCTACACTCATTACAGTAGCAAAGGGTCTTCCAGTCCTTACAGAATAATAGTACAGTTGTTTGAGATCTATCTAGTACCATGACCCATTGAGAGGGAAAATATAATCATATTCTGTATATCCCCCTAAGGCCGTAAGCTATCAGCCACGGGTATCATGCTTGAATATTATATCTGTAATCATGCACTGAAACTTCAGCAGAGCCCCTTTTCAACGGTCTAGTATATGCTTTCAACTTCCGCATTCATCTCAAGATGCATATAGATAGCAGCGCAGCTTTATCCTTGGAGCTTATATCAAGCCAATACCTATCTGCAACCTGAATCACTCTTGTAAAGCCTAGATATGATAGTCTTTGGCCACTTTGCCACTTTAGAAAACTTTGGATCATTATCCAGCTGCACATCGATGGCGCTTATGAGTTTCCGGGACCAGCCTTGAACATACCAAAATTGCTGCTCAACGAGGCTTAGAAGCACTGAGAAATATGATAACAGGACAAGAGCGCATGGGTCATTGGCCTGGATGTCTGACATGATGCTTGCAGAGATGCCATATGGGAAGAACATGACCATGCCTATCTCTGGCTGGGTACCAGCATGTGCAATGAGAATAGCCGACTTTCGTAGCTGCAAAGTTGCAAACTCATAGTCTTCCCTGTTGCAGTCCGATAGATTAGTCCGATAAAAAGCAAAGAGGCGACGCAGTGCCTGAAACGTATCCATTGGCAGAGCACTGCGGTCCAATGGCGGGTCGAAGCTTTACATTAATAGTCAGCCTATCGGTTCGTGGGGAGGTCAAGATCACGTACTCGTAAGAGGCCTCGTCATTCTCTCCGACTATCCAGATACCATTTGACCACGCCGAGAACGGCGTTTGCGAAAGACTTTGTCCCGCACCGAAAAGACTAGATCGAATGCCACGTATCAAGACAAAAATTTTCAGAATATCAGCCATGGCATCTTCGGTCCGACCCGCTGGTGAAAACGCGTATATAACGATTGTCGATGAGAAGCAGAACGCAGGATGCCAATTCTTTTCGTCGATGCTAGAGAATATGCTACGGAAGCCATGCATACCACGGGTCTGGTGGTAGGCTGCGAGATCGAGATATGTGTCCCGTCTTGCAGGTAACAGGTGAGCCTTGTGCAGCGCGGCGACGGAGAGCAGGCCGTGAGAGAGAAACGGTGTATTATATGACATCTCGGGGAGGACCATACGCCAGATGTGCTGCATATCCAGCCTCAGGGCAAGGGTGTTGGCTGTAATGGCAGAGTAGTGGTGCATCAGTTCCAGGCCGTGATTTTGGAAATCCAGAGATGCACCCGGCGTTGGAGCACTCCATACTTCAGCTACGGATAATGCATCAGGACTCGCTTCGGTTTCTCTGCTACTTAACAGGGGCACTCGAACGGTTTCGGTCTTCTGAGGAGACTGTTGCGATGAGGTCAAGGTGCATGTTATCCCGCGGCGGGCACAGTTAAAGCAAGAGGGAAGTCTCTCATCGCACTATAACGAAAGCGTCGTGAGATATCAGCAAAGTCCGCCAAGAGAAAGTGGAGGGGAAGATTTCACGAGGAGGATCCATAATGTCGCGGCCGTGACATACCTTGACCTTTCTACGTTTGCACTCCCGACATCCGCTGCGTGACTTTGTATGAGAGCGTCGTGGTTTCATCGTTTGGACACATACGTCGTCACCGACATAATGGAGGATATCGGTGAATTCTTACAAACAAACCGCGTGTTCGGACAAAATGGACTTTTGAGGTCGCATAGCGGAAGAGGGACTAGTCATAAGCTTATACCGAGCCTAAAACGCGAATACGCGGCATTCGGATGCGCCGGGCACTAGAGGGTATCCAATGATAGAGTTGAGTTGACATTCGACATGGATATGATACGGATCCACATCTTGCCCTAGCATCGCAGATAAGGCTGAAGAGTCAGCTCCAATATCTAAGCCATGGATCAAACGTCGAGGTACGTAAGCTATAGGCTCTTTGTAACGGAGTCTTGCATATATAGATATAACGGACTCGAAATGTTCCATTATTGGAGTGCTATCGCATTTAAAAGTAAGGTCTCCCTGAGCCTAAGCATATATCGAACCATCTCACCAAAGACATTATCCAGTGTCATCCTTCGCCAAAGAATTAAAGTGATCTATTACTCATCTTCAAAATGGCTGTCAAGTGTGACCCTAACTATCGACATGCCGACTGGTCCTTCTATCGCTACGAACCCTCGACAGCCGCGGCCGTCATATTCGTCATCCTATTCAGTGTCACGACGTTCGTTCATATCTTCCAGATGTTTAGGACAAGAACCTGGTACATGGTGGCATTCTGCCTCGGCGGGATTTGTAAGGCCCTCCACGAAACATTATTGTCCGACGTTACTAATCGACCGGTTACTGTAGCTGAGATAGCCGGATATGTTGGTCGTGCCATCAACTCAACCGAAGACCCTGGTTGCTGGACTCTGGGCCCCTACGTCGTTCAAAGCGTCTTACTCCTCATCGCGCCGGCGTTGATGGCTGCTTCTATATACATGATACTCAGCCGCGTTATCCTTCTGACGCACGGAGAGGAGCATGCCATCATCAAGAGACGATGGTTGACCAAGATCTTCGTCGTGGGTGATATTGTGTCAATACAGCTCCAGTCCGCAGGTATGGACAACTGATACCACAGTCCTCCATCACAACACTGACCCTTGTTGACTGTTGACATGAAAACAGGTGGAAGTATGATATCGGGAGCCAATGAAACAAATAACCTCATGAAGATTGGCGAGTACGTCATCATCGGCGGGCTCTTCTTCCAGCTTATAATCTTCGGCATCTTCATCGCAGTCGTCAGTGTCTTTCATCGCCGGATGAACCGGTCGCCTACCAGCAAGAGCCTAGAGCCCTCGATCAGGTGGCGTCATTACCTCACTACCCTCTACGTCACGAGCGGCTTTATCTGGGTTAGGAGTCTTTTCCGGGTTATTGAGTACCTCGATGGTAATGACGGATATCTCATGAGGACTGAAGCCTTCCTGTTCGTCTTCGATGCTACCCTCATCTGGATTGTTACGGTTTGGATGAATTGGTATCACCCCAGCGAGATTGGACTACTTCTCCGAAACGAGTCACCGGTCACCAACGGGTTTGAACTCCTTCCGTTCCGCCGACGATTTCAAAGAGTTCGTTCTTGAAGTATAATTGCATTGTCGGCAAGATGGTGTATCTGACCTCAGATCTAGAGTTTGCGTTTGGGGGTGTACCAAAGGGAAGGGATAGACTAGAATGTAATAGCACCAGTTTTAAGATCGCTTTTTATCTATTCTAAAGATCGCTGTTATAGTAACGTGGTGTCAATGGCCATTCGTCGGCTTGATCGACTAAAATGTTTGTCTAATGGACTGTTACAGACTAATCTTAGTTGGCACGAGACGATGGCCAGCACGGTACTTATTGAGGAGGGGCTCGTTTGATCAGAAGAATCACTCCTCCGTGGCAAGTCTGACCATCATACACAGAGTACTGATGCAACTTGAAAAATAAAATATTCTTTCTCGGAAGGTTATTGATTCATACCTAGTTAAAGCTTATGATATCTCAACGAGATATATCAAGCCAACACACTGAAAAATACCAATTAACTTTAGGCTTCCAAAGGCAATATGCGCATAGCCTTCTCAGAAGGTTATCTAAATACGATTATTCCTGGCGTGATAACTAGCAGAACAATTACCAGGGCTCCAAAAGAGGAAGCTTCTTTTCCACCAGCCACTTATTCACCTCAACTACTGTATTCTCCCACAGCCCCTTCACCTGTTGGCCATCTTTAGCAACAGGATTAGGCTCTTCCAGTTTTCCCACTGGAACTATAAACTTCCCTTTGTAATTCAGTGCATCTTTCTTTACCTCCGTTGCTGTCGCTGCGAACAAAGAATTGGCAGCACCCTGTTCAGCAGTCAAGAAAGACGCACGAGCTATAGCCCTGACAAGGACGGTATTAATAGCCAGTACACCCTCGGTGAGTACCTCCCCAGGATGAACAGCGATACAAGTAATAGGCAGATTCTGCACCTCTAATCTTCCTTGTAGCTCTTGTGTGAGTATCACCACTGCCGCTTTGGATACAGCGTACCGGATGATGTCAAAGCCAAACACGAATCTTCCAATATAGCGCCATTGCCAAGGGTGTGACGGGACTGGCTTGTTGAAACATGTTGGCGAGTCGAAGTTGAACTTGAAGTTGGCGGGGAGCATGCTGATGCTCGCTGTGGAGCTGAGGTTTATGATTCTGACGTCGGCATCAGGATCCTTGGCGGCGGCTTTGAGAAGAGGTAGAAGCCTGTTGATCAGAATGAAAGGTCCCATATGGCTGTGCATATTAGATATTAGATAAGATAGTCAGTTGGGATTTACATACTTGGCCGCCATGTGTTGTTCGTATTTGCCGTCAACCAACATGGTAGATGATGTTGAGGCGGCGGCATTGTTAACTTTACTATCGTCAGTTAAAATCAAATAAGTTGAGGTCTCAGACGTACTCAGGATGTGAAGCTTTGTCTCTTTTCTCTTTAGTTCTTCGACGGCGTGAGTAATGCTAACTGGGTCATACAGATCCATGACCAGATATTGTACGTTTTTCGCATCGATACCGGTGTCTTTAGTGAGCTTGTCTTTGGCTTGTCTGGCTCTCGCTTCACTTCGCGTAGTTAAGTACACCTTTGCTCCTTTCCGAGCCAGGAACCTGACTGTCTCAAGGCCGATTCCCGAGCTGAAGCTGTGTCAGTCGCGATATAGATTAATGGAAAAGGCTGATACATACCTTCCCCCAGTCACGACAGCGACTTTGCCGTTCAGATCTGGCATATCCGTGGATGGGTTCCATTGTGGTGTTGCCATTATGTGAAAGCGTGCTGGCTGCCGAATGGGAGGGAGGTCACTG